CCGACACAGGTTTCAGGCTCTCAGCAGATTGAAGACATCTGAGATGATTAATTGATTTAACAAGTTAATTAAATCTGCATATGTTTGGAGGGGAGCAGGGATGGAGTGGGAGGCCAAAATACCCCTGGAAAGAGCCTTCGCCCTACCTTTCACTGAAAGAAACCAGGGTTTGAAGACTGCCAATACTGTTGTGGTTGCCTAACAATCCCCACAATGGCCACTGAGATCTCAGAGGGCATTCATTTCTTAAAGGTACAGGAGATGCCTGGATTGTTTTTGGGGGAGTTTAACCCCTGACAGTGATTTTTTAAAAAGATTTCAGATTTTTCTGAAAACCTGGAGCTTTTCTCAAGTTTGGAGAAAGTTCTGTCTTGTCGGTTCATGGCTCCAATCTCCTGCTTTAAATATTCACAGATGGGGCCGTGTTGAGAATTAGAAATATTGATACGGTATAGATATTGACACCCCAGTCTTCTCCCCAGTAGTAACTCACAGTGGCTTACAATATCATTTTCCCCTCCTCCATTTTATCCTTACAACAACCCTATGGGGTAGGTTAGGATGAGTGTGTGTGACTGGCCCAAGGTCACCCAGAGAGACTCCACGGCAGTGTGAGGATTTGAACTGGGGTCTCCTGGATTTTAACCTAACAACAACCACTACGGAGGGCCACATTGGTGGAAAACTAAAAGCGGGGTGGCGCAGGGAGAAAAAGGCTACCAGGGCAGATGTAATAAACATTTTAATAATAAAAATGTTGTCATCCTGTATGTACAAAAGTTATAGTCCCCACCCTATTGCTTCTTCAGGGGATTTATAATATATCACGGTAAGCTAGCATTTTGCCCTGACCTGGATGGGTCAAGCTAGCGCAAACTCATCAGATCTCAGAAGCGAAGCTGAGTCAGTCCTGTTTGCCGTTTGGATGGGAGACCTCCAAAGAAGTCTAGGGGTGCTGTGCAGAGGCAGGCAATGGAACACCGCCTCTGCTCATCTCTGGCCTTGAAAACCCCGTGATGGGTTGCCCTAAGTTCCTTAAAGCACTTTCCACCACCAAGCTACTATGAATAAAATCTAACTCCAAAGATTAAAGTGAAACTCAAAAATAAAAATGGGTGCCAAAGGACGTGCAGTCCTAATAACAGTTAAAAAGGTAAAGGTTCCCTTGCTCGAAAGGCAGTCGAGTCCGACCATACGGTTGTGGTGCTCCTCTCCGTTTCCAAGCCGAAGACCCGGCGCTGTCCGAAGACGTTTCCGTGGTCATGTGGCCGGCATGACTAAACACAAAGGCGCACGGAACGCTGTTACCTTCCCACCGAAGTGGTCCCTATTTATCTACTTGCAATTTCTTGCTTTCGAACTGCTAGGTTGTCAGGAGCTGGAACTAGAGACGGGAGCTCACTCCGTCATGCAGCACTCGGGTCTTGAACGGCTGAGCTACCGACCTTCCACAGCCTGCAGTTCAGCGTCTTAACCACTTGAGCCACCGCTAACAGTTAGCTGGGCTTAAAAACAGTGAGCCAAAAGTACGTCAGTGCCTGCTCTCAGATCTCCTGGAAAGCGGTATAATTGAGTTTTAAAAGATCTTTGAAAGAATGCAGACATCATTGTACCAAATATGCACAAACTGGTCTTCCAGGAAAAAAGCCGTACATCTTACCTATTATCAGAACAGAGTCAACTGAGCTGCTACTTCGCTGTCGTTAGGACCTGTCTGATAAAAACCGAGTTCTTAGCTTGAAAGAAGTAGAATGAAGCTGCGGTCTGATATGTAGAGCAGCTGTAGGAATTCCAGATCTTCATTTAACTGTTTGGGGACCAGTGTGTGCCATGTGAAAACCCACTCAGCCTCTTTTCCCCCAGCAGCGTTTTGTCATTTTGACAGTCGATTTTTTGTAAGGCCCCAAAGAATCTGTACAGCAATTATTATATTCCATAAAATGTTTTAAGCAGAGGAACACCTAATTTCCCCCCCAAAACTAATGTTATTCTTGTGTTTGGCAATGCATGTCTTTAAATTCCTATTTGTCATTTTCCCATCTATATCTTATCGCAAGGATGTTTGATGCTATAAACCACTCAGTTGGAACTGCATGTACTGCAATTCTTTATCCTCTTTTATTTAATCCACAGGATTAACAAATTGTTTCAGATTACACATAAATTTACAATAGGTGAAGTTCCCACAAGGAAAATGTCCCTGTGGAAATCAGGTGCCTGGCAAAAATTTGTTGAGTTCTGATTTATAGATACTGTGTGCCACCCAATCTCTGAAATTGGTAGTCATCATAAACACAATTCCTGGCATCTTATCACACACAGAGATGCCCTCTACAATATGCCAGTTCCTTTAAATACTTTTAAAAAGTCCAATAGTCACATTATTTAAGGTAAAAACTACGCAAAAGCTGACCACTACTTTTTTTTCTTATTTGATACTCAGCATCTCCTGTTGAAGAACAGGGTTGCCAAACTCCAGGTAGAAGCCAAAAAAGAGAGTGCGGGAGGAGATGGAAATCCAAGCACAATATCCCTGACAAAAATATCAAAGAGTCAATAAAGATATGTGTGCGAAATCATTTACTGTAGTAATTCTGTAGAAAATTCTCTTCTATTATCACTCACACGCAACGGATACTGAGCAATATAAACACATCCGTTTCACAAGAATGGCTTTATCTGAGTGTGTCGCAATCACAATTCTTATCAATTTCTTCTTACCAACTCTTGAAGGAAACATCCCGTGTGGACTCTCTAATAACAGAACCCAACGTCTTCACAATGTAAAAATTGATAAGAATTAGGATTGCTGCACGCACAGATAAAGCCATTCGTGTGAAACGGATTTGTTTATATTGCGCAGTATCCGTTGCGTGTGAGCGATAATAGAAGAGAATTTTCTACAGAATTACTACAGTAAATGATTTCGCACACAGATCTTTATTGACTCTTTGTTATTGTTGTCACGGATGTTGTGCTTGGATTTCCAAACTCCAGGGAGGGCCTGGAGATCTCCTGGAATTACAATCAAGCTCCAGGCAGAGATAAGTTCTCCTGGATGAAATGACTGTTTTGGAAAGTAGATTCTATGGCATTATATCCCTACTGAGGTGCCTCTGTCCTCAAACCCTCCCATCCCCAGGCTTCACCCACAGATATCCAGGAATCTCCCAAACTAAAATTGGCAACTGTGCTGGAAACTAAAGCCTCGCAGGCTGACTGCACGATCTGCTGCGGATACCCTCTAATAGCCAGATGACTAGCTAATTGTGTTATATTATATTGGCAACTGTGCTGGAAACTAAAGCCTCACAGGCTGACTGCACGATCTGCTGCGGATACCCTCTAATAGCCAGATGACTAGCTAATTGTGTTATATTACAAATCCCCCAAAGAAACAACAGCTAAACGTTTTTATAGATAGCATCACAACGTTTTCATTACAGAGTGCGGGGGGGGGGTTGGACTAGATGACTTGCAAGGTCCCTTCCAACTCTAACATTCTATGATTCTATATTTATTACACCTCTCTCTTTGTTGCACCATGAGCCTTTTGACTCCCTCCCCTCGTGTTCCACTGGGGGTCCTCGCCCTTTTTGCACCCAAGGGCATCTTCGGCATTCGGACAACTGGGTGGTGGGCGCGGCAACAAAATGGCCGCCACAGGAGGCAGGCCCAGCCACAGAATCTCAGGGATCGAGGTTCTTCTAGCTCAGCCTCCCAACTCTTTGCTTGTTGTCTCCTTTAGGGTTTGGGCCCTTATAACGTCAGCAAGACGGCGCTCCTGGGCCTCACCCGCACCCTGGCCCCTGAACTGGCCCCCAGCAACATCCGCATCAACGCGCTGGCTCCCGGGCTGATCCGGACCAAGTTCAGCTCAGCTGTAAGTACTGGAGGGTGGGAAGGGGAACTGGGCCAGGCTGGGATAGAATGGCTCAAACTGTTGTACTGACGAGCATTTCCCCTTCAGCTTTGGCAGGACAAAGCCACAGAAAACAAGCTGATGGAGGCCATGCGGATCCGGAGGTAACGACCACCCTTTCGCCCCAGTGGGGGAGCGGCTGGCAGTCTGTGGGCCAGATGCACCCCCTACACCACGGCACCCACCAACACCCTCCCTGACCTCCAGTGTTCCCTTTAAGCTGAGTCGGTGTGCGTTAGCTCACAGCTTTCTAGCCTCCAGCTCACACCTCTTTGTCTTAGCTCAGGAAGGATGCAAAGTCATTGATGCAGCAGCTAAAATTGGCAACTGTGCTGGAAACTAAAGCCTCACAGGCTGACTACACAGCTCAATCGCTCGCTCACAACACAACTTTAATGCCGGTAGCTCATAAAGCAGAATTTTTGCTCACAAGACTCTCCACAGCTTAGAGGGAACATTGGTGGCACCCACCAAGTATTTTTAGATGGGGTCAGGTTGGTACAGCTTTCGCTCAGCAGAACTTCCAACTGTCTACTGAAGATCTGATCGGCCGTGAGGATGAAAAGGCCTCCTGTCGAACAGAGCCTCTGCCTGAAATGCTGGACGAGTTACTATTGCAGTTACACATAACCTCACTCCTTAGAATCATAGAGTCACCGAGTTGGAAGGGGCCGTAGAGGCCATCTAGTCCAACACCCTGCTCAATGCAGGATCAGCCTAGAGCATCCCTGACAAGTGTCTGTCCAGCTGCTGCTTAAAGACTGCCAGAGAGGGGGAGCGCACCGCCTCCTCAGGCAGCCAATTCCACCGTTGCACATGACTGTCAAAACGTTTTTCCTGATCTCCAGCCGGTACCTTCCCACCCTTAATTTAAACCCATTCCTGCGAGTCCTCTCCTCTGCTGCCCACAGGAACAGCTCCCTGCCCTCCTCTAAGGGACACAGCCCTTCAGATACTCCAAGAGAGCCATCCTGTCCCCCCTCAACCTCCTCTTCTCCAGACTGAACATTCCCAAGAAGTCCCTCCGCCTTTCCTCGCAGGGCTTCTTAATCTCCAGGCCCCCGATCATCCTCGTCCCCCCCCTCTGCCCCCGCTCCGTTCTGTCCACATCCTTTTGGGAGTGAGGCCTCCAGAACTGCACACAGGACTCCAGGTGTCGCCTGACCAATGCAGTGTGGTGCTCTGACATCTTATGGTCCTTGAGATGTTGCAGTTGTCTCCGCCTCCCGTGGCAGCCACCGCCCTGCGTCAGAATTCCAAAGGTGCTCGAAGGTTGGGAATCCTTGCTGTGCACTATTGCTGACAGGGCTGTTGTTGTTGTTCAGTCGCACAGTCGAGTCTGACTCTTCGCAACTGCACGGACCAAGTCACGCCAGGCCTTCCGGTCTTCCGCCATCCTCTGAAGTTTGCTCAATTTCATGTTCGTTGCATCTGTGACACTGTCTAACCACTGTCTAGCAACTGTCTAACCATCTCATCCTTTGCCGTACCCGTCTTCTTTGACCTTCAGTCAAACAGGGCTGTACTACATCAGAAATGGCACACTTAGCTGCTGTGTGTGTGTGTTTAAAGCCTTCCTCTGCTTGTTGGGACCCAACTCCCTGGCATCCGTTACCCCCGCAGTGGCCTACAAGACCTTCCTTCTGTTTCGCTCCAGTAGAACACAACAAAACATCTCTGTGTGCCCGGCCACTTTTGTGGCTCAGTCATGGTTTCCTAGAGAGTCCTTTTGATACCATGTAGATTGCTGTGACCCTCCGCCTCCCGTGGCAGCCATTTTGTATGTCTGCCCACCGCCCTGCGTCAGAATTCCAAAGGTGCTCGAAGGTTGGGAATCCTTGCTGTGCACTATTGCTGACAGGGCTGTTGTTGTTGTTCAGTCGCACAGTCGAGTCTGACTCTTCGCAACTGCACGGACCAAGTCACGCCAGGCCTTCCGGTCTTCCGCCATCCTCTGAAGTTTGCTCAATTTCATGTTCGTTGCATCTGTGACACTGTCTAACCACTGTCTAGCAACTGTCTAACCATCTCATCCTTTGCCGTACCCGTCTTCTTTGACCTTCAGTCAAACAGGGCTGTACTACATCAGAAATGGCACACTTAGCTGCTGTGTGTGTGTGTTTAAAGCCTTCCTCTGCTTGTTGGGACCCAACTCCCTGGCATCCGTTACCCCCGCAGTGGCCTACAAGACCTTCCTTCTGTTCCACTCCAGTAGAACACAACAAAACATCTCTGTGTGCCCGGCCACTTTTGTGGCTCAGTCATGGTTTCCTAGAGAGTCCTTTTGATACCATGTAGATTGCTGTGACCTGGATGGCGCAGGCTGGCCTGATGTTGTCAGATCTCAGAAGCTAAGCAGCATCGGCCCTGGTTAGGACTTGGATGGGTGACCACCAAGGAAGTCCCGGGTCCCTACACAGCCGCAGGCGATGGCAAACCGCCTGTGAACATCTCTTGCCTTGAAAACCCCCACGGGGTCGCCGTAAGTCACCTGCAAGTTGATGGCCCTGTCCTCCACCACCAGATTGCTGTGGACCCTTGAGAACGAGCCGTTTGGGGCAGTCAGTGGGAAAGGAAGCCCCATTTCTGGACTCTAAAGTCCCTCCCATATCCTCTCAGGCGTTTCCCCTGTCTACTTTCTTGCCCTCATGAGGAGGCTGCCTCTGTTTGGTGGTTTTTGGATCTGAATCAGGAACCTCTTGGTTGGAGGGTGGGAACTCGGAAGACGCTTATAAAATCCTGAACCACCCAAACTGCTTGATGGAAGAGGCATCGGTGAGTTTAGGGGTCCATCAATTTCTGGTTTTGACACCTGGGCTTTGCCGATGCTGCTACCTGGGCGTGGTTTGCCTTCTTGCATCTTCTTCCGTGCCCCTTGCAGTGAGAACGAGCCGTTTGGGGCAGTCAGTGGGAAAGGAAGCCCCATTTCTGGACTCTAAAGTCCCTCCCATATCCTCTCAGGCGTTTCCCCTGTCTACTTTCTTGCCCTCGTGAGCAGGCTGCCTCTGGTGGTTTTTGGATCTGAATCAGGAACCTCTTGGTTGGAGGGTGGGAACTCGGAAGACGCTTATAAAATCCTGAACCACCCAAACTGCTTGATGGAAGAGGCATCGGTGAGTTTAGGGGTCCATCAATTTCTGGTTTTGACACCTGGGCTTTGCCGATGCTGCTACCTGGGCGTGGTTTGCCTTCTTGCATCTTCTTCCGTGCCCCTTGCAGGGGATCGGTACACAAATGTGAACAGGTGAAGCTGCCTTATACTGAATCAGACCCTTGGTCCATCAGAATCAGTGTTGTCTACTCAGACTGAGGTGTTTCCCGTCACCTGTTGCCTGGTCCTTTAATGGGAGATGCCAGGGATTGAACCTGGGGCCTCCTGTAGGCCAGGCAGATGCTCTACCACTGAGCTACAGCCCCTCCCATAAATGTGGATGGATGAAAACGCTGTGCCAAAAGGAATCTAGATAAAATTGCACGATTGCGCTGAGATTCCTTTTCCCCCCCCTTGCTGGTTTTTAATCCGTGCCGGGAGGGAAGGCAGCCGTGGTATCGCCTGATCTCATCAGATCTCAGAAGCTAAGCAGGGTTGGTACTTGGAAGGGAGACCACCAAGGAAGACCCTGCAGAGGAAGGCAATGGCCAGCCACCATTGCTTCTCACGTGCCTCGAGAGCCCCTCGCTGTGGCCGCTGTCAGTCGGTTGCAACTTGACGGCACTTGCGTACCTGTTTGATCAAAGTGCATGTGTCCTGATGTGCATTGGCGACCCGTAAAGGCAGGGAAAAGGGTGGCAGGGGAGATGTGAACTGCCGAGGGTGGCAAACTGTGCATACGAACTTTAGACATTCTCCAGAAGGCAGGTTGGGGTGAGACGCAAGGCAGGGACAGCCCAAAGAACCATAACTGTTTATGGGGGGGGGGGATGGACCATCCCCAGATCTAGCCTGGTGAACCTGAGGCCCTAGCAGCCAACCTCCGTGATCCTGAATTGAATAACTGGTAGCCTAGGCCTCCACTTGGGTTTGGGTCCATGACCTCCTCTGCAAAACCCAATCCCCGGATATAGCCCAACTGCTTTCCTTCTTCTGACTCTAGTCATTGTGTGGCTCCACCTCCTCCCACTTATTTGCCATACCTCTGGCCTCCTTTCTATTTGTCTGGATTCTACCCAGCCTCTTCTGTATTTCTGGTTTTTCTGCCTCTTCCCCCCCCCCTTTCCTTCCAACATACGAAGGGCCCTGCTGGTTCAGACCAGTGGTCCATCCAGTCCAGCATCCCGTCTCGCACAACCTGCTCCTCTGGTGGCCCGACGACAAGGCATCGGGGCCGAGGCCTTCTCCTGCTGCCGCCTTCTGGCCCTGGGCTGAGAGGTTGATGGCCTCTGAACATGGAGGTTTCCCTTTAGTCACCATGGCTAGTAGGCACTAATGGAACTCTCTTAGTCTGTCTGATCCCCTTTTAAAGCTGTCTGTGCCGGTGGCCATGACGCCATCCTTTGGCAGTGAATTCCACGTGTTAGTCGGTTGTTGGGTCAAGAAGTATTTCCTTCTGTCCGCCCTGAATCTGCTGTTCATCAGCTTCATTGGGGTGCCCTCAAGTTGTAGTATTTTGGGAGAGGGAGAAAAAGTCCCTCCCTCCCTCCCTCCCTCTAATCTAGAATCTTAGAGTTGGAAGAGGCCATACAGACCATCTAGTCCAACCCCCAGCCCAATGCAGGACCAGCCTAGAGCATCTCTGACAAATATTCCTCCAGCCTCTTCTTGAAAGCTGTCAGTCAAGGGGAGCTCACCACCTCCCTAGGTAGCTGATTCCACCTTTGAGCGACACTGACCGTGAAAAAGTTTTTCCTGATATCCAGCCGATACCTTTCTGCGTGTAATTTAAACCCGTTGCTTCGGGTCCTCTCCTCTGCTGCCCACTGGAACAGCTCCTGGCCCTCCTCCAAATGACAGCCTTTCAAATATTTAAAGAGAGCAGTCGTGTCCAATGTTCCCTCTAAGCTGTGGAGTCTTGTGAGCAAAATTTCTACTTTCTGAGCTACTGGCATTAAAGTTGTGAGCGAGCGATTCAGCTACTGCATTAATTAATTTGTTCTGGAGCCCTCCTTCCTGAGCTAAGACAAAAAT